GTAGAAATGGGAGTGGGGCCATTCTATATGATCCAGCACCCATTTGAGCTAAGAGCTCACCACAGCCATGAGGAAGACCAGCTGAAGACAGACAGGTCTGGTGCAGGCAGAATTGAATAAATACAGTTCTATATGGGTTTCAGTTCTGATTCCAATACATGATAACTTTATAATATTTAGATATTGTTAATAAGTTCTGAACTTACAATTTTTACCTCTTAAAATGTTAGAAATTTTCAAGTATTGTATGGATAAGATGCATAAAGTCCAGAAGCTTGAAAAAAAATACAATAGGAGCTCTTTTATTCCAAGGGAAAGGATAATAATTGCAAAATTTTTGCAAGTTAATTATCTGGGGAAAGGAAATAAGGTCAGGCTTCTACAAAGAGGCAATATAAACCTGGTCTTGGTGTCATTCAGAGAGTCCTGCTGAATTTTACAAATGTATTAATTTTGTTTTCTACTCTCCTGCAATTTTTTTTTGGTTCGCACAGCTTGCCTACTTTTGTTGTGATGAAGACCTTTAAAATCCATATTAGCACATTACAAGTACACAATTCAGTATTAGTAAGTATAGCCAGTGTGCTGTGCATTTAATCCCCAGCACTTATTTATTTATTTGTAGCTGAAAGGCTGTGCTCTTTGACCACCTTACCACCTTGATACTTCCCAGCTTCTGGCAGCCACCTGTCTACTCTCTGTCTCTATGATTCCACAGTTAAGGTTAAACTTGTTTTTCTCCATCAGACTTATTTCACTTAGATAATATTCTATATGTTCATCCATGTTACAATGCCATGTTTAATGGAAATAGGAAAAAAAATCTCATGGTTTATGTAACTAAAAATCTCATAAAGCTAGAACCAATTTAAGAAAGAAATAAGCTGGAGGTATCCTGCTTCCTGATTTCAAACTCTTCCAAAGCTATAGTCATTAAAACAGTACATGACTTGTATAAAAGCAGACCCATTAAGAGCCCAGAAATGCCATTAATCCTTGATAATGTGACCAAGAATACACAGCACGAAAAGAAGAGTTTCTTTGATATGTATATATGTATAACTCCTGCAAAAGAATGAAATTGGACCCATATTTCTTACTACTTGAAATGGACTGAAAACATAAATATAAAAACTTTAATTATAGCCACTTAGAATAAACATAGTTGGGAGGTCCTTGGTATTTGTCCTTGATATTTGTCTTTGGATACGATGCTAGAGGCAAAGAGAGCAGGTGCAAAAATGAACAGATGGGACTGCACACATTTTTGTAATTTGACAAAGAAGTGACATTCTGAGAAGTACAAAGTCCATTGACTGGGGACAGTTTATGTAGAGTGCTAACATTCTATGAGAAGAGTTGATTAGCATGTTTAAATGGAATTTGGATGTAGTTCTAGTGGTAATTACATGGGTAATTTTGTAACAGTCGATCTCCTTCAGGGAACACATATAAGTTTTGTTGTTGTTGTTCCTTTTGGAAGCACAGACTTTCTATGATTCCAATTTGTTAACAACTGTTATAGACTCTGTAAGAAAAGAATAGACCATCTCATGTTGCAATATTGTGTGGCAGAGCAGATTAAGAAAATTCATATGTACATATATCTTCTCTTACATGGGATAACATAATCATTTTTGTTGAAGTGAGAGTATCAAGATGACTGCATTCTTTTCATTTTGATATTTTAATTCTCATTCTTGTTCACCTAAAATAATAAACTTTAAGCTTGTGCACATTCTCTAGCAACTGTATCCCATAAGTTCTTTATCTGCAAGTAATAAATAGATTTGAAGTTTTTGGAATCATGCATCTCTTTGAGGATATGATAAAAATAATAATAATTCTCTATATACACATAAACACATATGTATAACACTTATATATAGGTCTGCATGTATACACAAATATGAAAATATTCACAAACCCAATATTTTTGTGGATTTTGTGCACATGATTCCCAGGTTAAAAATTCTAAGATTCAAAGATAGCCATGTTTATGTACAGTGCTAACAATCTATAAAAAGAGCTGATTAATTTAGCATGCTTAAAGATGGACTTCCAATCTTCACTTCCAAAACAGATCTGTTTATTTCTTGAATTGGGAATCAACCTATTTCCTTTGTTTCCTATTAGCTCTGAATAACCCAGCAAATACCTATGTCCCTATCTTCGAGTCCTATCCTAATTTGTTCTCTTTTAACCACCTGCACTGCTGCCACCCTGGTCTAAACCAACATCATCTTTTCAAGGAGGAGTCAATAGCTTCTAACTTGTCTACACCCTTATTTCCCTATAGTCTATTTCAATAGAGCATCCAGAAGGATACTTAAAAGTACAAGGGAGGGAACAGGTAATATGACTCTTGGATTTAAAACATGTGAAACTCCCAATTTATTTTAAGTGCAAATCAATTTTTTTTACAATGGCCATGAAATCATTCATGGCTTTACTCTGCAAGTTGCAATATTCTGACCCTCATTCCTCTTTTGCTCTGTTCCAGCCTTATTGACTTTCTCAAAATTTCACCAACATGACATCCTCCTGTAGTATCAAAGATTACTGACCATCTGTTTCTTCTGCCTGAAGATACATGCGTGGCTCATCCCCTCACTTCAAGTGTTTTTCATGTCATTTTCTAACCAAAGCCCATTCTGATAACTATTTTATGTGCCTCAATCACTTTCAACCAACAGTCTCCATCTTATTTTCTTTGTTCATATTTCTCTATCACCGCCACCCCACTGATGATATAGTCATCTCCCAAGTAACTGAATTGATTTTTTTTTCTCCTGACCACAATGCAATATCCTAAAAAGAGTTTTATTTTGCATTCTGCTATAACCCAGCATATAGAACTGTTTCAAGTGAAAAGAGACCCTTAGTAAATCCTTCTACAATGAATAAATGGGGGAATTTTACTTATATCTTAAATTTTTTTTTGTCTAACATATTGTCTACTTTTATCCTAGTTCAAAGCATTCAGGTTATAAAACTACCAGTCATTTGAGTTTACTAGCACAGTGTACTGTTATCACTACTAAGAAGGAAGAGTAAAGGAAAGAGAAGGTGCATTCTTAAGACCTCAAATCCATACGGAATTTGAGAGAAGTTGCCAATTAAAATGGAAATGTGAAATGATAGGCGTAAGATACATCAGAGCTTTTCATGTTAAAGCCTCCTACATAGAATGGCTCATTGAGCGGCATCTTACCACATAGCAGTTCTCTCAGGAGAATTAAAAATTTTATGGAAATAATGTGACCTCTGGAACCTGGAAATGAGAAGTAAGAAATGAAACTTTATACACTAGAAGTCTGGAAGACGGAGCAGAACATCAATGAGAGTCGAAAGTATGGCCAGTTTTGTCCTCTAAATTTCTCCACTACCTAAGTAAAAAATGCATGGTCTGACAAAACTACCCAGATTGAATTTTATATTTACATGATCGCAGAATAGCACGGGGTAGAATCTGACGAGAGAGAGAGAGAGAGAGAGAGAGAGAGAGAGAGAGAGAGAGAGAGAAAGCAATGATCCATTTAGAGTCAAGCAAGACTGCATTGCCTTACAGTGGCCGCTAAAGTTAACAGAGGCCAAACTGGTTCTGAACCTCACCCAAGTTGCTTACTTTGGTCAGTTCCTAAAAGTGACGCTCCTTTCCATGTCCTCTGG